AACTATATCATAGTGTCATACTTTTTCACAAGGCAAGCTGAATATTCATCGAAGCTTTATAGAACTGACACTAATCCTGTAAGTGGTGCTAGCAAGAAGTTTATACCCAATATTTTCTCTCATCCTTGCTTTTAAAAGATTTTTGCAGTCACCTTCAAGTGGAAATATACTGTAGCTTTCAGCTCTGGAGGCAAACATACAAAATCTCACAGATGCACAACGCATCTTTGTCCTCCAATCCCTGCGAGAGGCCGAGTTGGTTTGGCAGCGGAGGTAATTAGCATTGGCTGAGTCGCACATATGTGTCTGTGTGTGTTGATCTCGATGGCCATGCAAGGTGTGTGTGTGTGACAGTAAACACACTTTTGGTGAAAAGAGGGGCAAGTGTGGGGGAGATTTGAGAGAGACTTTTTGGTCAGCGAGTGTGTGTGATGAATGAAAGGCGTCTTTGAGGGCAGTGGATGATCCAGGAGGCATTATGATTCATTGCATCGGCGTGCGATCTGAACAGTAGCATTGAGACTGAGAGAGATGCCACACATGACAATTAAATAGAGGCATGCTGGGATGGAGTGCAGGGAGATCTCATTCTGGATCACTGCTCCAAGAGCCCTCATTAGTTACTGTGGGTTGGTGTGGAAATCGCTGCGGGTCAAGAAAGGAGTGTTTTGGATTCTGTATGAAAACTTTGATTCTACTATGGATTGTTATCTTTGGAGTTTATTTGAGGGAAACACAAGCTTATAAGTGTTTTAACCCTTTCACTGCCTGCTCTACCAAATGGGTGACCATGTTTTGACAGTTTTGAATAATCTCTGTTAAAGTCATTTAAAAAATGACTGTTTTAAATAATGGTTTACACACACAGCATTGTTGGTTCACAAAAAAATCTAACAAACAATCCTGTTGCACTTCTACACTTGATATAAGTTTTATTGTAAAAAAAAATAAAAAATAAAAATACATCAAAACAGGAGAATCTGAAATATTTTTATGGCATACTTCAAAAAACAAAGATGTTTTAGTATTTTTTTTTTAAATATTTGTTTAAAGGTTCAGGACACCCTTGAGAACTTTTTTTTTTAAATATTAACAGATGTGTGTGTGTTGAGCATCAGTTAAGACGATGTTAACACCTGTCAGTTTTAATTGTGGGGAAGAACTGGATCATTTTGAGCTTTTGTCAGCTTATTTCAGCTTCCAGGTTTAAAATGATTTTTGGGGCGGGATCAAAATCAGCGACGTAGCGCAGTACTGCAAGTGCAATGATGACGCGTCGGTTTCTCATTATTATTCATAGTGGAGTTTTCTTATCCTATGAGAAGAGCCGGCTGCTTAATTATTCATGAGAGCACGTGCTTTCGGACCCACGGCACGCAGTAGCCGTTCATAAAGGCTCGTATGTGTTTGTTTCCATGATCCACGGGATTTGTTGCATGTGATTTTCTCGCGGTCTTGTCAGGGCCGATCATACAGCAAAGCTGTGTGTGTGCTGCAAGCATTTTTGTCGGGAGAGCAGTACGAGAATTGAAGAATGGTGGACGTTGACTTTTATCAGGAGTTCGTTCACATTTAGACACATGGCCGTGCTGCTGTGTTTGCCTAAATCCTCTATATTACCAGCAGGGCTAAGGGTTAAAATAGACAGGTCAGGAGACCTGCTGCACTGAGTCTGCATTCAGATCTATAATTTAGACCCGGGGGTCGAGGGAGAATTCTCATTTATAGTGTTTACATGAACACACTTATCTTTATAATGATATAAATTGTGGTTATGTGTATAGGAAATTACTAATAACAAATGTAGCAGGGCATTCAATTACTGTTTATTTCTTTGCATTTCAACTTTGTGAACTATAAACGCATGCGTCTCCTCACAGTTTGTGTCTCATTTTGTGAGCTAACTGTTAACAACAGTTGTTCGCTCCCCTTCTCCCCTGCTGTCCACATCCACTCCTGCACTGTGCTCACGGAGCTCCACGCCCATTAATCATGCATCTTTTGAAAAAATTCTGAAGTAGACTTGGACTGGGAAATGTCGAAAAAGGGGGGTGTCATGGCCCTTTAAATAAATTGGTCTTACACTTCATATTTTCAGATTTTTCATAGTATATTTGATAATTCCGGTACTTTTACCAAAAACCGACATATCAATCATTTGGTAGAGGTTGATATATTAGCAATTATGGGATGTGTTGAAACTGATGTGTTAACTAGTAACATTAGATGTAAAGATTTTTTTTTTCTTGGTGGGGTAGAGAAAGGGTTAAAGGGGTTGGCTCAGAATGAGTCAAAATGCCCTTGATATGTTAAGATATTGATTAAAAATATCTTCCATAAACTCTAAAAATGCTGGGTTCCAAACAAACAATTTGAGTTGGAACAACATAAGGGTTTTAAGTTAACTTATTGGTTTGTTCAAATTTAAATGTGCTGAACACAAAACAATTAAGTTGTTGCAAAAAACTCAAGAATGGAGTTGTTATAGCTCTTTTTTATTGTTGGTTTGATCAAACAGCAAAAACTATTTTTGAGTGTACCAATAATATTTTAAATAAAGTACACTGCAAACAATATGTACATCAACCTAGCTATACAATCATCTTATTGATTCAGTAGTATTATTACAATACTGCACACAAACACACAAATACAATGTTAGATATCATTAGTTACATACACTGTAAAAAAGCTGGGTTCCATTCAATCAATTTGTGTTGGAACAACTTGAAGCAATTAAATTAACTTATTTGTTTTTACAAATTGAAGTTGATTAAACTTAAATCAATTAAGTTGCCACAAAAAAACCTCAAGAATTGTGTTGTTATAGCTCTTTTTAAATAAGTAGATTAAACAAACAACAAGTGCCATTTTTTGAGTGTACATCGTAAAAAAATGCAGGATTTTACATGTTCTCTCCACACAAATTGATTAGGTTAACTTATTTCACTTCATAAATTTGTTAACTTAATTGAGTATAAAACAACAGATTATCTCCAAATAAAAATAAAAAGTGCATACATTCATTTTCTTGCCAGCTTAGTCCCTTTATTAATCTGGGGTCGCCACAGTGGAATGAACCGCCAACTTATCAAGCAAGTTTTTACGCAGCGGACGCACTTCCAGCCGCAACTTATCTCTGGGAAACATCCACACACACACACTCATACACTATGGATAATTTTGCCTAATCAATTCACCTTTACCACATGTCTTTGGACTTGTGGGGGAAACCGGAACACATGGAGGAAACCTACGCGAACACAGGGAGAACATGCAAACTCCACACAGAAACAGCAACTGAGCCGAGGCTCGAACCATTGACCCAGTGACCTTCTTGCTGTGAGGCGACAGCACTACCTACTGCACCACTGCGTCTCCTAAGAGTTGTGTTGTTTCAACTAATTTTAGACAAGTAGTGTCACTTTTTGAGAGTAGATAACAGCTTTGTAGTATCACTAATGAGAACAGTCTGTATAAAAACTATGATTCTTAGCTATGACAAACTATGGATTGTTATTGTTGGAGTTTATTTGAGGGAAACACAAGCTTATAAGTGTTTTATGGGGAGTTGTATCAGAATGAGTCAAAAAGTCCTTGGCACTGTATGTTAAGGTAAAAATATCTTCCATAAATTGTATAAAATGACAATCGATTTGTGTTGGAACAATTGATTCATTCATTCATTTTCTTTTCAACTTAGTCTCTTTATTAATCTGGGGTCACCTCAGCGGAGGGAACCGGCAACTTTTCCAGCATTTGTTTTATGCAGCAGATGCTTTTTCAGCTGCTACACATATCTGGGAAAAATCCATACACACTCATTCACACTCATACACTGCAGACAATTTAGCCTACCCAGTTCACCAGTACCACATGTCTTTGAAATGTGAGGGAAACCGGAGCACCTGGAGGAAACCCACGCAAATGCGGGGAGAACATGCAAACTCCACACAGAAATGCCAACTGACCCAGCCAAGGCGTTGCCTACCCAAATGAATTAAATTAACTTTTTTGTTTTTTTCACATTTAGGTGGACTAAACATAAAACAATGAAGTTGTCACCAAAAACCCTCAAAGAATTGTTGTTTCAGCTCTTTTTCAATACGTAAACAGCAAGTGCCATTTTTTGAGTGTACGCTGTAAAAAATGCTTGATTCCACATACAGTAGTTCTCCCTTCACAGATTGATTAAGTTAACTTATTCAGTTTTACAAACGTGTTAACTTAATAGAGTATAAATCAATTAAGTTATCTGATGATGAAAATTGTGTTGTTTCAACTCATTTTAGATAAGCAGCAGGTGTCATTTTTGAGTGTAGATAACAACTTTGTAATATCACTAATGAGAACAGTCTGTATAAAACTATGGTTTATATATGGTATACATGGTAAGGCAGTGGTGCAGTAGGTAGTGCTGTCGCCTCACAGCAAAAAGGTCGCTGGGTTGCTGGTTCGAACCTCGGCTCAGTTGGTGTTTCTGTGTGGAGTTTGCATGTTCTCCCTGCCTTCACGTGGGTTTGCTCCGGTTTCCCCCACAGTCCAAAGACAGGCGGTACAGGTGAATTGGGTAGGCTAAATTGTCCATAGTGTATGAGTGTGTGTGTGAATGTGTGTGTGGATGTTTCCCAGAGATGGGTTGCGGCTGGAAGGGCATCCGCTGTGTAAAAACTTGCTGGATAAGTTGGTGGTTCATTCTGCTGTGGTGACCCCGGATTAACAAAGGGACTAAGCTGACAAGAAAATGAATCAATTTTTTTTTATTATTATTTATTAGTTGATACAACTCAATTTTGATTAATTAGTTTGAAAAAGCAGGAAAACTATTTTGTGAGTGCTTACTCTATAGAAAAAGCAAATCTAAGGGTCAAAATGAAAATTTAAAGAAAGAAAATGTCTAATTGATTAATATGGCCTATTTAAGCATTTAGCAGTTTACAACATTTGACCATGATGAGATTAATAAGAGTATTCATGACCAATGAAACTGTGTGTTTCAGCTGGGATCTGAGTGGACCGCTCCAGGAGAGTTTACCAAGTTCAGGTCCCAGGCATCCAAGTCTGTGCAGTAAGTACATACAATTTACACATCTGCATATTAGTATGCTGTTCCAAACACAACATTTGTATCTTTCTTGGGCTGTCTCTGACTAAAGATTTTCTCAGTCTAAACTAATTGCACATTTATTAAAATTCATTTAATCAGACCTACCTTAGCAAATACTGTGATACCATCACACTTTATATTTGATGGTCTGTTTGTTGAATTTAAGTTACATTGCATCTACATGCCAACTAATTTTCATTAGATTATAAGTAGACTGTTGGGTTAGGGTTAATGTAATTCTACTTTCAAAGTTTCTTATAGTCAGTTAAATGTCTGTTAAAGGAGCTGGATCAGCAGATATTAAGCAGACAGTTCACTAATACTCAAATGGACCATCAAAATAAAGTGTTACCCAACTGACCGACAAAAACTGTATTGATTAAGTCTGTTCTGGTCGACTATTGACTAGTCGACGATTAGGGGGCAGCCCTATATCTTTCATAACTTTTTTATAACATCCATAGTCATTAACATAGCCATGTTTGTGCTGTATTTTATGTGTGTGTGTGTTCTTTTCTTGTTGTATCCCCCAATCAACGGCTTCAGTACTTTCTTTGTAAACAAATCGCCCACATTCATGTGCATTGATGCTGTTATTTTACCCCTGATGGTGTTGATTGGTTTGGTAATTGGAGGAAATTGCTGGTCTTTATCGGATCGTGCATTTAATGATCGCCTTACTCTGCTCCGCTCAAAGCGCCCTCATCATTTACAGCCATATGACTGCTGCAATTTAAAATATCACGTCCAAGAATGAGCTGTGCAGCTTCTAAGATAGAAACCTCCTTTTAGCTTCAAAAAAGCGCTGTATATGAGCAATCTATTAGCATATCGTATTTCTAGTCTTTCCATAAAAAGCCTTTAACAGCCAGCTAGCCGTTTTAATTCGGCACTCCCTGCACTAATGCTCCATTAATAATGGCTTCAAATGGATCTGCTGGAATTAGCAGTGGGTTTGTTTCCATATATGTGGCTGTAAAGTGATCCATGGCCTGGCCTTTATCTTGAGTGTATTTAATAATGCATAAACTAATCCAACCTCATTTCGTGAACCTTAGTGTATAGATAGTAACCCGCTGAGGAACATTTTCGAATTTCAGGAGATAATGCTCTTGCTGGATGATTTAAGTCTTTATATTTAGCAATTTAGATTTATGAATGTACAGAATAATGGATATCTAGAGTGCCAGATGGCTGTTGTCAGATTCATAAAAATGTACAGCATTAAATAAGTGTTTCCACAAAAATAAACACAATATAATAATAATAATAATAATAATAATAATAATAATAATAATAATAATAATAATAATAATAATAATAATAATAGTATGAATAATACATTTTAATTTACTACTTTTTGCTGATTATTTTGCATAATGTTAAATATTATGAAACAGCTTTCTGGAATGCACTTTAAACCCCACTGTTGTCATTACTAAATATATTCATATAAAATAACTTGAAATTACTTAAAATACCAAGTTTTGGTGTCAAATCTTAAACGGGTGTGTTTAACTTACTTATTAGGCAGCAAAAACTTTTAATTAATATTTTAAGTTCTTTGAACGTAACATTTTAATTTCTTTAAATAATTCACCATGCTTCCGTTTAAAATGATTGGTTGCGCTTAAAATTCTGCCTTGACAACTGAGCTGATTGGTCAATATATGTTATATGCCACATGGTAGTCATTTTGCCTGTGAAGCTAAATTTTGCTGAAGAGCAGCAGTAAAGAGGCATGAACCCATCTGATGAAAGAGAAACATTAATTATTAAGTAGATATTTGAATGCTTACAAACATTATTCATAATTGATATACATGCAGGGGCAACATGGTGGTGCAGTGGGTAGACATCTAATAGAGGTCTAAAAGACATCTAATAGAGGTCTAAAAGACATCTAATAGACATCTAACAGTAGTCCAAACCTAGACTCATCAAATAGACAGATTAGACAGACTAAAGCCTCAGTCACACTGCACTGTTTACCCCATAAACTTCCATTCATACGCATGCAAATGCGACAGACCAAAAATGCAAGCTAATGCAACAAGTTTCACAGTTCGCTATGCTGCAAAGTTCAAGCTTGGGCAACTCTGACATGCAAAATTGCATCACATGACTGCTTGAGACCAAATGAAGATCAAAGCATGATCTCTCTACAGAAATGTAAAATATGGATCAATCGCTGGCTTTTTGAAATGTCTTATCATCTTGTTTAACCCGGTCTCTAGTCGCATTATGCACCGTACTACAGAATTTTGTATGCTCAAATTGCTACTGTGACCACGACATAATTTGTAACTGTTAAGTTGATTTAGCTTTTTATAATTTTTTATAATTATGCACATAGTTCATGTACCTCAATTTTTTAAGGCAACAGGTTTACTCGCTTTTTTTATGTAAAGTTAACTTATCGTTTTAATATCAAGAGGTTTACTCACTTATTTTGAGAAAAATTCAAATAAGAATTTTTTTACAGCGAATTACAAAGTACAGTGCATTCGGAAAGTATTTATAGCATCTCACTTTTTCTACATTTTTTTATGTTACAGCCTTATTTCGAAATGGATTAACTAATTTATTTTCTCAAAAGTCCTCACACAATACCCCATAATGACAATGTGTTTTTTTTCGTTTGAAATTGTTGCAAGTTTATTAAAAATAAAAAACCTGAAAAATCACATGTACATAAGTATCCACAGCCTTTGCTGTGAAGCTCTAAATTAAGCTCAGGTACATTCTGTTTCCACTAATCATTCTTGATTCAGCAGCTTAATTGGAGTTCACCTGTGGTAAATTCAGTTGATTGTACATGATTTGAAAAGACACCTGTCTATATAAGGTCCCAGGGTTGACAGTGCATGTCAAAGTACAAACCATGCATGAAGACAAAGGAATTGTCTGTAGACCCATGAGACAAGATTGTCCAAAGGCACAAGGAGGGTTACATAAAAATGTCTGCTGCTCTGAAAGTTAGAATGAGCACAGTGGCCTCCATCATCCGTAAGTGGCCAGCCATCTAAGCTGAGTGATAGGGAGAGAAGGGCCTTAGTCTGGGAGGTGATCAAAAACCCAGTGGTCACTCTTTCTGAGCTCCAACATTCTTCTGTGGAGAGAGGAGAACCTAACAGAAGGATAACCATCTGTGCAGCAATCCTGCCTGTATGGTAGAGTGCCCAGACGGAATCCACTTCCCATCCTGAAATTTGCCAAAAGGCATCTAAAGGACTCTCAGACCATAAGAAACAAAATTCTTTGGTCTGATGAGACTGATGCGACATTTCATCTTCCTGCAGAACAATTACCCAAAGCACACCGTCAAAACATCAATTGAGTGGCTTCGCAACAACTCTGTGAACATCCTTGAGTGGCCCAGCCAGATCCCAGAACTAAATTCGATTGAACATCTCTGGAGCTATCTGATAATGGCTGTGCACTGTTGCTTCCCATCCAACCTGAGCTCGAGAGCTTTTCGACCAATAGATTTCTATTTATACACATGCAAATGCGGCAGACCGGCAACACAAGCTCGTGAAACAAGTTTTGTAGTTCGCTATGTTGCAAAGTTCAAGCTTGGTGAACTCTGATCTGCGAAATTGCATGTGACTGCTTGAGACCAATTGAAGAAACATGACCTCTCTATACAGAAATTTAAAATATATACCAATCGCTCGCTTTTTAATGTCTAAATGTCTTGTTTAAATCCACCCCTATTCACAGTGCGGTACAATAGAATTTTGCATGCTCAAATTCTTGTGACCACGTCATTAGTCATTTATACATGTCTATTGACAACTAGTTTATTTTCAAACTATTGTTTGAAGTCTATTAAATTTTCACTAACAAACCACATTTGTCTTTGTTTTGTCCAAGATGTCTACGTCTAGTCGTCTATTAGAGTTCCATTAAACACAAAAAGCTTGCTGGGTAATAACAGAGGCTTATCCAGGTACAAAAAATGCCTAATTCTGACTATTAAAAAAATAAGATTATTGTTGGCACGTTAGGAGATTTTTTATATCTGCAAAATTTACATTTACCTAAAGAGCAACTAAATTATTACATCTCTGACAAGCTTTGGCTTTTTTTTTTAGTTTTGCGGCAATTAACTTTGTAATTAGCGGTATAATGTACATCCAGCCAGTTATTTTATATATTATACCTTACATAACACCTCGTTGCCACTTACTCTATGGCTGTATAACTGTTCGTATGGATCTAAATAAAAATACTACTACTACTACTACTACTACTACTACTACTACTACTACTAATAATAATAATAATAATAATAATAATAATAATAATAATAATAATAATAATTATTATTATTATTATTATTATTATTATTATTATTATTATTATTATTTAATATTTATTTTTTTACTGATATTTCAAGTAGTTTGATGCAATTTATGTTCTTGATTTGGTTATAATTACAAAAAACAGGTATTGACCTGTCAGTACTTTTCCTGTTATTGTTCAAATTTATATCTCCTAGTATAAAGTTTATAAATGTACACTACCATCTGAATGTTTAGAGTCAGTATGGTTTCATATTATAACTAAATTGTTCATTTTATTCAGCAAGGATTATATTCAGCAACACTGAATATTGGTTGCTGAAAATGTACAGTAGCTTTGCCTAAGTCACCTCACCTACACTTGACCGCTGGCTGTGAGTCACTAAAGAGCATTTGATTTTTCTGCATTATTCATTCAGTGTACCCGCGTATAAGTCTTTCACCTATTACTGCCCTTGACGTTGAACTGGATGGAGGAAGTAGACCCTTGGGAATAAGGCTACGATCCCAAACCTGAATAGAATTGCTGTTCTTGTGCTTCTTATTTTGTTTTAATATAGAAAAACATACAAACTTAGAAAAACATACAAATTGGGGCAAGATAATAAACCGAAGCACTAAACAAATTTTGAGGTGATTAAAAGCAAATTT